ATAAGAAAGAATACAAAACGAAAGAAGCACAACTAACCATCGGCAAACAGTTCCGCCAAACAGGCCTCGCGGACCCCAGCCTCGTAAAGGTTGAACTTCTGCAGCATGCACGCCTCGTACTCTTCATCGAGCCCGGCGTACTTGCCCAACTCCGATTCATATGAGTTCGTGCCGCCTTTTTTCCACACAGTTGGCTCCTCAACAAATTCACTCGCCCATTCCCCGGGAGTGGGCTTCACGTAGAAGAAGCGCTCGAACCACGTCTTCTTCAACTTTGGCGATCCGTACACAAAGCCCTCGGGCCTATTGTCACGCCGCTTGATCGAGAGACAGTCGCTCGTCTTAGTGGGCTCCTTAATCTTGTAGAACTTGAGGAACAGCCCGTAGGTGGGCTCGATTTTGAGCCTCTTGCACGCAAGTCGGAGGCAGCTAGCGTGCATAATGATGGAGGGAGACAGCCGCCCAACCGAGCAGTTGAGGCGCCTATAAAGCGCGCACAACAATGGGTTAATGGGAAATTTGAACCCCATCACCCAATACTCCGTGTAGACGCCAAACCAGCCCGGGGGGCAGTTCCCGACCATACTCCGCACAGACGGAACGGCGTACTCCCAGCTGGGGGGCAACCCTAACCCGCGCACAATTTCCTCCACGTCTTGGCGACTGTAGATGGAGGCATGGTCAGGCCCGCGCAGAAGGTTGTCATGAGGCGCCGGCTGATCTCCCCACATTTCCGCCCAATCTATGACGGTGTAGGCCGCGCCCACACCCTGGAATCCCAGGCGGCTAATTGCCTCGGACGTGCGTACTTGATAGAGCGGCTCCGACGCCTGTCAGACCCCTCACGCGTCCCCGAATTCGTGGCCTCAGGTCTTCCATCACGATCGCGACGGATAATCAACACCCCACGAGCTCTCGCGCCCGATTGACCACTCCCTGACACAACCACATGCGCGTCCGGAGAACCAGCCCAATCCCTTTCGGAATCATTGTCGAATGACGGCGTCGCCGGAACCCCCTCACCGCCATCTGCCCCGCCCCGTCACCGTGGCCGGAACCGGCCAAATCCAGTGAACGGTCGGAAGAAATAGGTGAAAAGAAGAGAGATTACCTTCTTCGCCCTGCACGACCTCGGTCTCGTTGATGTTGGTGCTATCCATGGCAATGATTTTCAGGTTAGCAACAGCAAAAGGGAGAATTGAGGTTGTAGAAGAAGGAGAGGAATCTCAGAGATCAGAGGAGTTAGAAGTGGGGAGTAAATCGTACGAATGCAGAATGAGTGGCAACCCCCCGAGAGTAGGTTGTATTTATAGTTGATGATGGGAAGCCGAAAGGTTAAAGTGGCTCGGGAGTCGTAACCGTCAGAACCTTTTCGAAATTCAAAACGGCCGCCAAAACGGACAATCACACAACGACATGTGGCAGACCTAGATCCCAGGCAATCATAACAGGCATAGCAATAACCGTTGACGTCACCAGCGCTGCGCAACGCCTGGGGGGCATGGCACACCCACGAGTAAGAAAAAAGCGCCCCAAAATCCAACCCCAAACAAAAGCGTCACGCGCAGCCAACCGAGAATCGCGCGGAAGAACAGACAGGCGCCGTTCGCGGAACACCCCAGGCGCACCAGCAGAAAAAATCCCACGAAGATCGCGCGGGCCAGAGCCAATCCCACAAACCGTGCTATCAACGCAACAACCGTGACGAATCCCATGAAAGCCGCGCGATCAGCATGACTCCATCCAGGCGGAAAGTCAGCATGATCAGTAACGAACCCGGAAGGTCTATCCCACGGAAATCACGCGGTCCGAGTCAATCAGGCGGAAATCAACAGGAGGTATTCGCGGAACACCCCTGATGGGGGCAATTGTTGGGCATGTGACTCGGACCAAGCCGCACCAGAGAAACGCACCGACACTACCCCAGTTGCTGCCGGACCCGCCTAGTTGCGCCACGTCCGAAGACCTCTCGCGCGACACAGCGTGAAGACACCGGCGCGGCTCAGCGCAAAGACCTCAAGCGCGTTACAGGCTACGCGCGCGTAGAGAGATCAAAGCGCGGACCAGACCAAAGAGCCGCAGAAAGCGTCATCGTGCTTCCCGAGAGGTAGTCACATCAAGGGCCTAGGTACAGTCATAGGTAACCTCGACATATCCTAGGTAGAGGCATGGCCTAAATCCTGACATGTCAGTGGTCATGTCGTTGTACCATCATGTAATCCAAACCACTCACCCACCACCATGTAGCCTATAAATATGGCATTTACTCCGGTGGGTGAGGGGATCACATTTTTCACTCTCTCACTCTACTACTACGAACTTTCTCTCTCTAAAAGCTCTGGTGTCCCAAACCTTTCTATTGTTTACTCTTCTCACCCTCCTTTCTCACGAGTCTACCTCCTACTCTCAGTTAGACTCAAACAGTAGCTTACACCCACTAAATTAATTGATTTGTTCACAAATAATACATTTTACTTTCTTTTTAGTTATTGGTAGTGAAATCTATTTCATCACAAAAACTAAGTTGAAGTGTTAAATGAATTACTCACCTATGTTGAAGTTGTAATCGACTAATCGTGATTGATTAAATATAACATTTGGTAAATTGTTTTGTTTACCGGTTCTAAAATAGTTTATCTTGAGTTACGCTTACTTGAATGATGTTATTATCAAGATATTCACACAGATGCATCGAAGTAGGCAACCATAGAGGTCGGACCAAGATGGCACAAATAATGGAAAATGAAAGGAACGAACATCGACAGATGTGACATGATCTCAAACATTTGCTTGTCTGTGTGCAACATATGAACATATGTATCTAATCTAGGGAAAATCCTTACGAGGCAAAGCCAAAGCTATGATTCCGTAATAGACTATGGTAGTGTGCTCTCAAATGTAAGTTTCAAGTGCCTACACTTTTGGATTAATTTTTCATCTAATGATAAGGAAACGAGCTTTTGCTTACTATTGGGAACCGTAGATCGTTATATTTTTTTAACAAAAGGTAATCATATTGATTGATAAAAAGATCATGAATTACATCCTGGACCCAATCCAGACACGAAAATCATACAATTTACATGAAGTCGGAGGCAATGAACGGACCTCCATAGCCACTGAATGGGATACCCTATTGCTAATGCGACCCACCAATCGAACATGAAAACCACTATTCAGAGCCATCATACGCAAAATCTATAGGACAATAGCCCCAACACGACTGTCTTGAGCATCCTTGGCATTAATCTTATTAATGAGCATCTTCGCATCACCTTTAAACCGAACTTGACAATCCCCAGATCCTGACACCACCGAATAGCTTCACGAAGGACAATAGACTCCACCATAAGAGGGTCAACAATGTTTTCAAGTACCATTCCTCTTGCTAAGACCACTAACCAACCTTTAAGATAAGCCACGTACTGCACCATCCCACATACAGATGACAGAGGTCGAATCTACCACCTCCAGATTCTACTGCAAAGGAAACTGATCTCATATCACCCTATCCTCCGGTAAGGACACCCATTCATGGAGTTCTGATGGTATTGGCGCATTAGTCGAGGAATCAAAACTGCTTGCCCTTAAAGGCAACCTAGTTTCTAGATTTCCAAATACGCCACAGGAGCGCCCCCAGAGCCATAATCGCGTCGGCTGGGTCATCCTAATCAAATACTTTTTAAGGAAAATAGAAATGAATGGCGCGGCAACCCGTGCCCAAATGCTCCAATCTCGAATGAGTACAGAGGGCTGTAGCGATTGGACACTCCCAAAAGAAGTTCTCCATCGTTTCAGGTTTCGCCCAACACACCTGGCATCGAGGCAGATCTGGATCTTGTCTCAATCAAAGATTCAGAAAATGACAATCAATTGTCGTAGCTTGTAAGTTGTAACACACGATGAAACTAAAAAACGAATCACAAGCCAAGTTGTGTCATTGCTGGGAATGGAGGTCAACATCCTAGTGAGGTGACCGATCGATGGACCGGTCGAGTTTCGAAAGACATAACTTTCTTCTTCTTCTTCTATCGCAACATGGTGGGTATTGTTAATTTTATAAAAGTCGATGTCTTGTCAACTTAACAAGATCCTTGTCTTTGCATTTTTCAATACGAGCGCCATGATCACTTGAGAAACAATCCATTTCGTCGAAGTCAAAGCCCTCATTGAAACGTGCGAGTCGTTACTAGCATAATCAAAGCCTCCTTATACCACTATGTTTTTATCAAGATTCAACAACATGAATCCATTTAGATCATAGAAAAAGAAGGGGAAGCTATTGGATTTTCATATGACAGACCTCCTCTCATTGTGATTGAACCAATTTCGGTGGATGATGTAAATTCATTACGTGTTCAATAATAGCTTCACACATAGATTACCGTAAAAAAAAAAAAAACACATCAAGAATCATGGTTGAGTGTGACAGCCACACAACCAATGAACCAAAAGTAGCCAGCAGCGAGACCAGATGCTGTCTAGCTGCTGCTGCGGCCGCCATGGCATGGGTCCAACCAAGCTCCAAGTTCAAGCCATTTCCGTCGCATCGCGCCACCTAAAAATGGGTGAAATGGCCAACTACGCACACGTTGAACGCTGTCTTGAATGCTCCTCTACCGACCAACTGACCTTTTCTTCCTTGTTATAACTTTCCTCGCCTTTTCCTTCACGTATTCCCTCTTGACTTTCCTTCTCCTTCCTTCCACGCCGCCATTTTCTCTTCCATTGATTTAATCGTTTAAAAACCCTTGCCATCTTCTGCTGCGTATCTCACTCCTTCCCAGATTCCTTCTATCTTTATATGCCCAGTAGGATTTAAGCCATTAAAGAAATCCCCTTTTTTTTTGTTTATCTTTCGCAGAGCTCAATTTGGGGTTTCTTAATAATTTCCCATCTGGCTTTTGGATCAATTTCTTCTGAGACCCGGACTGCATGGCTTCTCCTTCTTCATACACTTCGTTAGCGAAGCCTCCGACTCTCTTCACTCTCCATTCCTCATGTCTCCGGCCTCCGCCTGCCCTTGCTTCTCAGGTGGCAGGGCGCCGCCGTCTGACCTTCCCCGTCGGCAGCAGCACTCTGGCCTCGCCGTGGCTTCTCTTACCAACTCTGCCCGGTGGGTTTCTGTCAGCGATTCATTAACTAACTTTACTCTCTTCTCTTATGCAATTTTTGCTTTCTGGTCCTGGCCATGTCGTAGTTTGTTAGAAGCTATTTGGGTATGTTTTTTTTTATGATGGATTTCGTGGGTTCGTAGGCGAGAAATGGGACGTATAAAGTAGAGATTTCATGACGAGGAAGGAGGATCTGCTTGTTGTGAGCCTTTACAGGTGTTGATCAAGGTAAGAACCAAGTGGATTTCTAGATTTCCTTTCCTTTCCTTTTTGCTTGTTTGTCGACTTTTTCTCACTTCTGATGATTGTTTGCAGCATTGGGGTTATCGTGGAGAAAGGATTACAGGGTTCCCTGTGATTGACGATCACTGGAATTGGTACTACTTTGTTTACTAAATCATGCTGTTTAAATGTCTGTGTTCATTTGTTTTGAAATGTTTGTTAATTTAGCTTAGAAAGGCTAGCATTCTGCATTTAGATGAGCCCATTACTCCAGTTGTGTTTAAGATTGTGTAATCTGAAGAGTCCTGAGTGTTCCATTGATCGATTGTGGCATCATTCCTCAAGAACTTGCGAGTTGAAAGGCTACGGCTATGCTGAGCTAGTTAACCAAACAGTTGCAGTCTTAAGATTCATGGTACCAGATTTCATCACTGGGGAGGGGTTTGAAAGAAAGTAATCAATTGTTGTCTGTTGCTGAGGCATGAGGCAACTAGTTGACAGTCAGATCGCCAAACAAAGTTATAATGGTGAAACTGATTCTTTCAGTTTCAGTTTCAGTTTTTTTCCCGAAACGAGAAGACGAAACCTTCTTCTGTGGCTTTGTCCGCTACTATCACACACCCATTGTATCAAACGAAACGCGAAGGAAAAAAAAATTAAAATTTTCCCTCCCTTTCTCTGACTCTGTAAGCTGGATTTTCGTGGGAAACAACCGGGAAAAAATATGGAGAAGGAGATGAGGCCGAATGGCGGAAAGGGAGATCAATGGAATTTTTGAGGAAAGGTTTTTTATTTGTTGTTTGTAATTATTTTGAAATTATTGTTGTTGAGAACTTGAGAGGCTTTTTTTGACTTCCGGAAATATAATTTAAAAATAAAAACAGTGGGAAAAGGGGACGGGGGACAAGAACAAGTAGGTGGGCCTCACTAGACTTATTAGATTTGGTATTTGGGCTTGTTGCGACCCGCTAGTCGGATAGCACGGGGGCCCATGGGCTCTATATTTGCCATTTGCGAAGAGCCCCAGCTGCTACAGATACAAGTTCCCCAGCCTCTAATTAAGACAAACATTGTACTTTGATCGATCCAAAGAAATTAAACACTTAGATCGGTTGAGTGATTCTATTTACAGGGTATTTTTTTTTCATGAAGATACTAGATTTTATCGAGATGGGAAATGGATCGAGAACGATCGCAGTGAAAAAAAAGAAGCAGAATTGAACATACATACGGGCGGCGAAACAAGAGAAACGATATTGAATGTGAAAGAGAGATTTTTGTTTTAGATGTTAAATAGAAAATGAATGAGAGTTAAAGAGAAGAGTGACCTCAAGAAAGAGCATGTCAACTTGATTCCACGGAGAAGTAAATTGTTTTTTTTTTTTTTGTTCGATTTTAAGGTTGTCAGTATCGTGTTGCGTCGATATATCATATATCTATATATATCGCCGTTAGCTGCTTAGTAATGTTTTATCAGATATCTAAACTTAGGTAATTTGTTATTGATACTTGAAATTCTAACTTATCGATGGTGATTAGTCCATCAACTAGCTTAATCAAAGCCCACATTTAAGACATTTTGATACTTAACTAAGTATTTTGTGAGATTATGTTACCTGTTCAAACTTAAGTGACCATTTGGGTCAATTACCCATACAGCGTAAACTTTACTCAAGTGCAGGCGACCGAAACGACGTCGCTTTCAGCCAATCGATCAAATCCTTTCTTCCTTTCTGCAGCTCTCCTAGCTCCCGAATTCCAGCTGAATCTCCGTCTCCACCGTCGCTATTCCGGCGAAGGCGTCGCCGTCCCTCGATTTCTGGATTTTCCCCGCGAACAGTTCACTCTTGCAGATCCGATCTCTTCCAGGTAAATTTGAATCTTCAATCGCCTCAAAGGAAACCTTGTGAATGAATCTGAGCCGTGTGTTTCTGTGATTTCTTAGAATTCCTGAGATTTTAGGTCGAAATTGGTTTGGGGAAAAAGTTTGCCGAGTGAATGGAGAGAACTTGAATTACTTAGGGTTTCTAGCTCTTCAATTAACATAGCTTTACAGGTTATGATCTGGTCTTAGTTCTCACTTGTTAATGCTTCTGATGATTGCAGCACCTTCGGTGGAAAAAGATGCAAGATCCAAGATTGCCCCTTTCGGGTGAAATTTCAAACGGTAAACCACGTAAGAAGAAGGGCTCATCAAATTCCAGAGCTTCCTTGATTCAGCTGAAAGGGAGTGATGTACGAGAGATTCAACATGGTCAGGCTGCGGCAGTTCCTTTGCCTCTGAGAACTTCTCAGAAGCTGTCTACCAAGAATTTGGCAAGGAATGAATACACTCCTCCTACTACTATGTTTCAGCAGACGGAGAGATCGAACTCCGATTCCTTGCCGGAGTCTTCAGGTTCGGGGAATGATTACAGGGCATTGAGAAGGAAGTACTTGCTGTTGGAAGAGGAAAGCTTTGCATTGGGAACCGAGTTGACCGAGATTGAAGACGAGGTTAACACTCTCGAGTACGAGAAGCTCGCGTTGTTGGATCAGCTCATTGTGCTGGAAGGTCTTGTCGACCCTTCGGAAGTGCAAGTCCCCTGAACTCCTTTGTTACTGTACTGCAATTGTTGCACTTGGGTAATGTGTTGTTAATAGATGGCTCATAGGCTTCTTTTGGATCACAAAAGGGTGGGAAAATGGAGCAGTTTGGTTTCTTGGTTTTACAAGCTGTACTAGAAAGGTTGGCACATATACATTGAGAACTAAGATTTTTTCATGTTGAAAGATTGAAAGGAGTAATCAAAAGAACTAGTAATGTGTATTGCTGACTACTAATGGATTCATTATTCCTATGTTCATCGAGTTTTTGTTTTATGGCTTTCATGATTTGGCTGGATTCCGTACTCCACTTACTGTATATCTGACAGCTTGATGTCAGTAACATCAGGTGAGTTCAAATCTAAGCCTGATGGACTATGAAGCTGCAAGCAATCTGAAGTTTGGTCCTTGCCAGGCTTACTTTGGTTACTATGCTCTAGATGGACTTATGGCTTTACTGGGACAATACTTGGAAAAAGTTTAATCTTTGGTCTGAAGTATTGTGTTCTTTCTTATTATCATGGTTGTCCTAGCTGAACGAGACTTGTCGAAATTAAGACTATTTATATAAAGGCAGGGTCGAAAGAAGGTACTGAAGTGAAAATTTACTTCTTCCTTTTGTTAGTTTTCACTATGTACTTTGACTCAGGTATTTCTTAATACAGATTACAGTGAGCTGAATTCATACTCATACTGAATATGCATTTTCCTATTAATCATATTTTTGTCTACTGCTGTTTGGGATTTCGACAGATGAATCAAGATAAGACGAAAAGTAACATTCACCAGATGTGGAGTTTACAGATGGCAGATGCTCCTCTCGGTATGTAGTTAGTTATTGAATGAAAATATTGTTCTATTATCACTTTCTTAGCACTTATATTCTATGGGACTTTGAGCTTTAAAGATTGAGCATTTCCATGGCTTATTATGTTCAATTATCCTTTCTTACGACTTATGTGACACCTTGTGGGTAGTCTAAGCAGATGGTTCAACAGATTCCCTTATTTTCTAAGGAAGAACACGTAGTAGAACATACACAGTAAAAGATTAATTTGGCAATCTTTTAACAATTGTCAGCTGGTCATATTAAGAAATTGTTGTCCAGCTACCCATAATAAATGATATGGTTCTTTGACCACTAGAAAAGAAATAATAGAAAGGGAAAAGCCAGTAACAACGTGCTGGGAAAGAGGCCATTCACAATCACCACTACCAATAATATCACAGGCATATCTCTGGACAGAGAAATAGAGAACTGATGAGTAAATGAATAGATACAAATGCAGTATGGGAAGGTAGTTATATCCCATTGAAAGACTTTGCATATCTAGAAGATCCTTCTCTTTCTCCCTTCTTCACCTTCTCCAACCCCCATCTTCTGTAATTTGCATAAAACACAGGTCAGGAAAACACTCAAGCAAAAAGGAGAAGACATCATGGCCGAGAAAGAGAATCAGGAGGTTCCTACTGTCGCTCCAATTTTGACCAGATTGGATCGCCTTGATCGAATGGTTAGTACCCTGATAAATTATCTATTGACGCCACATCACTTTCTCATTGATGGAAAAGAATGAAAGATTGTTTAAGCTTGATGTGTCGGTCTGTCTGTGCGTGCGTGTTTATTTTTTACTTGCAGCTGCAGTTTCTGGAAGATAAGTACTTGGTGCAGGAAAAGCCGAAAACTGAAGCAGCTGTGAAGGTCGTCACGGAAGATCATCAGTGCATGAGTTTATCAGCCGCCCTCGAGCTAGTTAAACAGAAAGGCAGCGTGGTGGAGAGGCTCGAATTCCTCGAAAACCGCATCTTACAGGTTCGAAGAACTCTAGAGTCTCAATCAATCTATTGATAATTGTTATGTTATATGCAATGATCAAAAGGGTGATTGGTCATGGTATGAGAAGCTTTGATAAGCACTTTTGTTGAATTGGTTCATTTCATTTGGGTGTGAATTTATTCAGTTGAGCCTGGAGATGGAAGTAGGCAACAACAACAGTACATCCAGGTCAAGCTCTGTCATGGTCACAGAACCTGAATCTGGTGATGATGATCATAAGCATCTGATTGTGAAGCAGGAACCAAAAATGGCGCCAAATCTCTCCATTAATCAGGTAAATTGACCAACTGGAGTTTCTGCAATATATGATTGAAGGGTATGCCAGTTTTCTGGAATATGATTTTGTGTGGGGCATATATGCTAAAAGATTCAATGCATGACAAATGATTCACGTTGAATTCACTGGCATGACGGCATACGTGAAACAAAAGATGTAACAATTGTTTACAAAAATCTTTAACGAACTCCAAAGAGTGGCGAGGTACATGAACAATTCACTAGCTAGCTAAAGAGCATAACATGGCTAACTTGTAGGTAAAAACCCTACCGATCACATTTCTCTTGTAGAAAATTCTCACATCCGACTTCACCGTCATTAAATCCTTTTAAACAATTACATATGATTGACTTGTTAGCCATCTTTCTCCAATCTAACGTCTCTCTTCTTGTATTCAGCATTACAACTTAAATCTATGATCTAAGCTATGCAACTATCACTTACTTAATTTGCACTCTATTTTATTTATTTGTTGTTTCCTTTTGTCAGGCCTATTTTCCTTGTATTTTAAAAGCTACATATCATGAATTCGATATGAGGTTATAATCCGCCAATGATTAAGTCTATCAAGCACTGATTTTGACGGATATTTCCCCCGTCCATTTTTTTGCAGATTCCAAATGGGTACCATCACAGATTACAGGTGATTTTTTCCAAATTCTATTTTCTTTAGATTTTGAACACGGCTTCGGCCTAAGGCAAGTCTACAGGATTTTTTGGATGACATTTTCGTGATATTTTTGGCATTTTTTGTAGGAATTTTTTGAAATGTCATTTTCCTTAAATTTTAAGGGCTACAGATCACGGATACGGTCTAAGTCTATTCTCACCAATGATCAAGTCTATTAAGCACCTATTTGGGAGGACATTTTCCAAGTTCATTTTTGCAGTGTCCAAAAGGGTATCATCATACGAAAGGTCATCTTCCTTGGATTTTGAAGGTTATGGATCACGGATTCGGCATGAGGTTGTTCTCCATCAATTATTAAGTCTATTACACACTTATTTGGGTGAATGTTTTTATGGCTGCAGATTTCAAAGGTGTACCATCACATATATCTGGAAATTTTTTTTGAAAGACCATTTTCCTTTGATTTTGAAGTCATCAATCACGGATTGGGCTTGAGACTATTCTCCATCGATAATTAATTCTATTAAACACCAATTTGGGCAGATTTTATCATGATCCATTTTTTGCATATTTCAAAAGGGTACTATCACATATTTCATGCTTTTTTTAAAAGTCATTTTCCTCCGATTTTGAAAGCTACAGATCACGGATTCGCTTTGAGACTATTCTTTATTGGTGATTCGTCTATTAAGCACCAATTTGGGTAGATTTTCGGGTTCATTTTTAGCATATTTCAAAAAGGTACCATCACATATTTTGAGCGATTTTTCGAAATGAAATTTTCCTTGGATTTTGAATGCTACACATCACGCATTCGGTCTAAGACTATTCTCCACCAATGGTTTAGTCTATTAAGCACAAATTTGGGTGGATTTTTTCCTGGTCCAATTTTGGAAGATTCCAAAGGGGTACCATCACATATTTTTGGCAATTTTTTATAAAGACCATTTTCCTTGGATTTTGAAGGCTATAGATCACAACGGTTTGTTAAGTTTATTAAGCTACGGTTTAGGTGTATTTTTTTGTTTTTTTTTCTTACAAAAGGTAATCATATATTGATTTAAAAAGAGATAATTACATCCTGGAGATCAGCCAGGCCTGGAAATGAAAAACACGACTCATAGTCGGAGACAAAGAAAGGGCCTTCCTAGCCACCCTGTGGGCTACCCTATTGTTATTCCGACCTATAAACCGCACACCCAACCCCGGATGAGACTGAAAATAATGTAAAACCTCTTCCAAAATAGCTCCCATCCGGGTATCACTAGCCTGCCGTAAAATAATCTTGTCAATAATCACCTTGGCATCCCCTTCAAACCGCACCTCCGTGAATCCCAGACCCAAACACCAGCCAATTGCCTCCCGAAGGGTGAGTAATTCAATGACCATAGGATCAACCAGGTCCGGAAACTGGATCCCCCTAGCCAAAAGTACTTCACGGGCCGCATTCATCAACACCATACCCCCAGCCGAGGGAGCCCCCTGCCTGGTAGCCCCATCCCAGCAGCAAACGACCCTGGGATCAGTAGACTGGGCAACCGGGCGAATAGGTGGGATATGTTGCAGGATAACTCTATCCATGGGAAGGCTCATCCACTCCTCATACTGCTGGTGAAACTGCCTCATTAAGATCGGGATCCCAAATTGCTTTTCCTCAAAGACCACCCAGTTCCGAGAACGCCAGATTCTCCATAGGATAGTCGTTAATGCCATAAACAAACCCGGCTGGTGGATGAGCGCCATAACCCTCTTGAGAAAAAGGGGGAAGGTATCTTGAGGTAACCCCTGTCCTAAAAATTCCAATCCCGATAGGTCCCAGAGAGCCCGCGTCACTGGGCAGAAGAGGAAAAGATGCTCCAAGGTCTCAGTCGCTTCCCAGCACACCGGGCACCTTGGATGTATCTGGACCTCTTTCTCAATTAGGGCTTCCGTAGTGGGAAGGATCCGGTTCAAAATCTGCCAAAGGAACACCTTCAATTTTGGCGGGATCTTAGCTTCCCAAAGCTGGACCCAGCTAGCTTTATCCATCCAACTTGCCGAAGAACGCCAGCCACCCCCTTGCTTATCCAAAAGGACCACCAGATGGTAAGCTGATTTAACAGTAAACTGTCCATCGGGCGTGTCATGCCAGATAAGCCGATCCGGCAAATTTTGCTTGGGAAGAGGGATTGCTTTAATTGCCTGACAGGTAGGGGGATCAAACCATTGAGCAAGTTTGGACTCACACCAGCGCCCCTCTCCTGCGCACAAAACCTCAGAAACACACGGGTCTCCGCCCTCAGGAAGAATCTGGGGACTATACAGCGGGATCGAGGGATGCAAACGAGGAATCCAGCTAGACTGTAGCAGAGAAGCGGTATGACCATTACCAATCTGCCATCGAAGACCCTTCTCTAGCAACGTCCTTCCAAACAGGATACTCTGTCATCCCCAAGAAGGACGCGATCGAGCCGTAGCAGTGAGGAAGATACCATTGGGAAAGTATTTTCCTTTATAGACCTCGGCTAAGAGGGATTGGGGCTCATTCAAGATACGCCATTCAATCTTGGCCAAGAGAGCTTGATTAAATTGCTCGAATCGACGGAAACCCATACCACCATCATGTTTGTTGCGGCACATATTCCGCCATGACATCCAACGGACTTTGAAATGGCCATTTTCAGTGCCCCACCAGAACCGAGCTATATGCCTATCGAGGAGGCGACAAAGGGACAACGGGAGTTTAAAACATGACATAACATGCAGGGGCAAAGCTAAAGCAACCGATTTGATCAAAGTTTCCTTAGCTGCCCAGGAGAGAGTCCGTTGCTTCCAACCGTGTAGTCATCCTCCAGATATCGAAAGGTTTCCATCTTCGAGCGGGCTAACAGCGTTGGCAAGCTAAGATATTTATCATGAATGCCCACTGCTCCCACCCCCAGGACTTGAGCCAAGAATTCCTGGTCTGGCAGGGCTATATTCTTACTGAAGCACAAGGCTGATTTACCCAGGTTCACTTTCTGCCCACTGAGTTCTTCGTACTCATTTAACACCTCAATCAGGTTCTCACATTCCTGGAGAGAACCGCGAAGGAATAAGTAGGAATCATCGGCAAAGAAAAGGTGGGAAATTCTCGGATCACGGGGGGCCACCTTCACACCTTCCAGTCTGCGTTCAGCAATAGCCTTTCGAAGGAGAGCGGCAAATCCCTCCGTAAAGATTACAAACAGCAAAGGTGAGAGAGGGTCCCCCTGCCTAAGACCCCTAGTTGGAGAGAAATATCCTGAGGGAGTGCCATTCATTAGCACAGAGAATGAAGTAGATGTAAGGCACTCCCTGATCCAACCCCTCCAGGTAGAATTAAAGCCCATTTTCTCAAGCACAGCAAGAAGAAAGGGCCATTCAACTCTATCATAGGCCTTTTCCATGTCAACCTTCAGAGCCATGTAACCTTGCTTGCCTTGCTTTTTAATTTTGAGGTAATGCATTAATTCATGTCCTAGGAGAACATTATCCACAATCTGGCACTCTTTAATGAAAGCATTTTGCCCCTCCGAAATTATTTTCGGCAAGAGCCTTGCCAGGCGATCTGCCATGATTTTAGTGATGATTTTGTATATGAACTGGCACAGACTGATAGGACGAAGCTGGCGCATATTCTCCACTGCATCAACCTTAGGAATCAAAGTAAGCCAAGTATGATTGAAGCTTCGCAACATCTTACTCGTCGTGAAGAAGGAGCACACTACATCAATCACAGAATTGCCAACAATGTCCCAGAAGGCTTTAAAGAATTTTCCAGTGAACCCATCCGACCCGGGCGCTTTAGTAGATCCCATGGCGAACACAGTTCGTCGAACATCACTAGGCTGGACGGGTGCCGTGAGAGAATCATTCATCTCAGGAGAAACACTGTGAGTCACAGGGAGGCGCGCCACCCTTTCATCCATATCCCTTATCTGACTCTCTGAGGTGAATAAATGCTGGTAAAAAGTATTGGCAATGCCCGCCTTCCCATCCTCATCAGTGATCCACTCACCAGAGTCGTTGCGCAGACCGGAAATAAAATTCTTCTTTCTTCTGGTCCTTGTGACCGTATGGAAGTAAGAAGTGTTTTTATCCCCTATTTTCAGCCAGTTGACTCTAGATTTTTGTTGCCAGTAGACTTAGGTGTATTTTTTTCATGTCCATTTTTGGCAGAGTCCAAAGAGGGTACCATCACCTATTTCATGCAATTTTTTTGAAAGACCATTTTCCTTGAATTTTAAAGGCCACAGATCACAGATTGAACCTGAGGCTATTCTCCACTGATTATTAATTCTATTTAGCACCGATATGGGCAAAAAAATTACTGACTGATTATATTAATACAGTGGTATTAATGCCAGAACAATAATTTTAAGGTGGTCGGTTCGGATCACATAGAACTTCTAACTTGTCATTTCCCTTCTTTCTTTAACATTGAAATCATGTAGATACTATCACCGATCCTTTATTGAACTAGTGGCGAGAAGGCTAGGTGCGACATCGTGTCAG